GGACTCACTGCTAACCTACCGAGGTCGTACTGCAATTGCACTGCAGTTAGTCCACCACTTGACTCACCACTTGCCCACTTGCCCACTTGCTGACCTTCTAGAAGGGCTACAGCTAAGACTTCTGGAACTCGCTAAGACTTCTATTCTACAGGTCTACAGATCGAACCCCTGCTACCTACGGACCTATGACAGCCTACCAACTGTTTAAGAATACACAGGTCACAGGTTCAACTCTCGGGATCTACACAGGTACTGTACACAGGTAGGGCAAGGTCTAGGGATCGAGCCCTGGGATCTGCATCTGCTACTGCAAAGAGGTGAAAACCGTTTCACTTCAGCTGTTCTAATTTTTATTTGGCCATAACCATAGGTCGCAACCTCTTATTCTAAATCCTCTACGTCCAGGGAGTCTTAGTCCATCCAGAGCGTGAAGACACTTTCATTGAGGAGAGGAAAAAAATAGAGTAGGTGGGATCTCCCCTCCTCTCTCTTACCTGGGTACAGAGAATTAAGAGGTGCGGGGGTTTCTCGATTTGGGTGCTCGATGGGAGGGTGGTGAAATTCTGATGCGGATTTCTGAGACCAGTGTTGGACAGAGGGCAACAACTGCGTTCAGAACCGGGGTCTACCTCCGCAGTATTTTCCAGGGTTCTCTGGCTTCTCGACTGTTCCAAAACACCGAGTGTGTTTGCTTGTGGGGAAGGGGGGGAGAAGAACGAAAGAAAAGGGGTGCAGCACTACTTGATGCTCCTGACATTGCTGTATCACATTCATGGGCTTGTAGCATGAGGCGTATTGGTTAGGTACCCAAGTTGGGTTTTTGAACAGGCAAGGACAAAGAGAACAGTTCTCATGTACAATGAAACTAACCAGTTGTCAAAAGTCTGAACCTGTGGTTTGGAATTTGCTCGTCATGGTTTCCTTGTATAGATCCCTGTTCAGCAGCAAAAGATGACACAGAGTGTGCAAGTGTCAGCATACGTGGAATCAGGAATTGCAGCTGGGTGCGCGTGCACCACATAGGAGATTACCCCCCTGTCGTGGAGAGTTTGTATAATCCTCGGGAGAGGTCAACCAAGACTGCACTTGATCTTGCCAACGTTCAGATGAGCGATTCTGTGCAAAACTACAGGAAAACCAGTGGAGACACAAATCCACGTCCGGGTGCAGGGCCAGGTCCAGGGCCAATTGCAACTTTTGGGTGGATTGATCGCACGGGGCTTGGGCTGAAAAACTCACCGGAAACTTCTGGAGTCGTTGCAGATGGTGCAGATGAAGATCAAGAGGAAGAAGGTGTAGACGAGGGAAGTGTTGATGCAAGTGAACAAGACAAACAAGGTGCTTATGGGACAGCTAAGGGTGGGCATTCAGAAGGTGAAGAATTATCTAGTTCTGCAATGGCAACTAAAGGTGGGCATTCAGAAGGTGAAGGATTATCTGGCTCTGCAGCAGCAAGCAGCTTGGTAAAGAAATCTTGGAGTATTGGTGGACGGCCTGCCAGAGGGAACCATGGACGACCTGTCGGAGGGAACCTTCTGTCAACAACTGCAAAGCTTGTGCCATTGCTACCCCCGGAAAGTGAACCACCGTCTGGAGACATCGAGGAAGTAACTCTTCGGTCTGGTGAGGTTCCTTCAGCCAGCCGATCTGTCTTTGGCAGCAATAAGGTTCGTAAGAGTGGGCTTGCTCCAGGACCGAGATTCTATTTTCCGGCGACGAAGCCACCTTCTGTGAGCGGACTGTTCAAGAGAAGAGAGATGAGCTATGTTTCTTCCTATGCATGTGTTGATGGTAAGACAGGGGATATCGTCTGGGAAGACATGCGCAGGAGGCCAACCTTCTTTGGTCCAAATGTTGACCTCGACGCCAGTTGGCAATGTAATTTTTCTTTTCCATTTGCACACGCTCAAAGAAAAGAAGGAAAAACGGATGGAAAAGAAGAAGAAGAAAACAGAAGGTAAAAAAGAAGGAAAAAGAGAAGTGCTTTGAGTCCAACCATGCATGACGCTTTGCACATCAAGCTCACAGCAGATGAAGCATACACGTGAAGCACACGGAGATGTAAACTCGAAGATAGTCTCTGCCAATCAAGTCAATTATACAAATTGTCTTTGTACATGCTGGGCGGCTATGGCCACTAGCCTATGATCACTTGCTCACTCTCACTTAACCTAGCTATGGCTATAGGCACCCAGTGCTCACTTAACCTAGCTATGGCTATAGGCACCCGGTGCTGTCGACTACTTCCTACTGCAGCGCAGAACAGCATATCTCAAAATAGCACAGCAGTGCTTCTCTTTGTTTTTGTCCCCCTTCCACTCACCTTTGTCAGTGGCTTCCTTAATGCCCATACTTTGTGTACCAGAAATGTCAAACTTTAGGGTTTTTTAGCCCCTCCTCAGAAGTTTTTACTAACGTTTTTGTCTGATCTTTGAGCTCGAATATTTCAAAATCTGCTATCCCCTATTCCTCGTTAGTGCAATTCTGAAATCTGAGAGCAACTGAAGGGTTGGACTGAGTTTTCACCATGCCCCAATCCTCTGGCTTCCACTTCTGATTGTTATGATGCTTAAAATTATCAAACAGTTGACAATGTTTTCAAGGTGTGCATTTGTGGACCCTCTGACATGAACCAGACGCCAGAAAATTTGGAATTGAATCCTGCTGATTACTGCTGCTGATGGCTGTCGTTCATGCATGCCTACATGTTTGCAGAGTCCAATACCACAAACCCATGGGATTTGTCTGTGATGGCCTTTGAGATAAGGCACCGATCTGTCTGCCAACAGCTGGGTGCAAGCCAATGTGAAAAGGACTTTGTCTGCAGGCTTTCTGAGCGCTGCCTTGTGGACAATTGCCGAAATGAGTGTTGCTCCTTGAATTCAGAAGACGCATGCAGAGAGACTTGGATCTCTCATGTACCACGGAGCCCAAAGAATGCGGCAGTTGGCAAAATATGCCTGTGGGCCACAGAATGTGCGCCATTCATGGGTATTGACTCTCTCTCTCTCTCTCTCTCTCTCTCTCTCTCTCTCTCTCTCTCTCTCTCTCTCTCTCTCTCTCTCTCTNCCCCTCCCCCCTCCCCCTCCTCCTGCCCAGTAACAGACTGTTGTCTCGTCCGCGCATTTGTTTCCACATGTGGAGATTGGACCAGTAGAAATGCGCGTTTCTGCTGGGCCCACCAGTCCCATCCTGCATTGCACTACCGACTCTTTCTCGAATGGGCCACGGCCTGTACTCGTCGACGAGTTTTGATGAACAGTACTTTCAGTTGGACCGGTGGCTTAAATGACGGTGGCTGATCAGTGTTGGATCATAGGAGGTAGGGGGAGAGGCTGCTGCTGCGGACCGTCATGATAGGGATTTGGTCTCACCTGGTCAGGCATTTTGTGGTAGGGTCGGATCGAGGACATGAAGGTGTGGCTGTTATGGTGAGAAGTGGTATGCCCTTTTCCTGGAAGGAGCAGCGCCAAAGTTGCCCAACTAGGATAGTAGAGACTGAAAATGTGCTGGGGGTGTGACCCTTGCCCTTTTGCCCCTGGCCGACCCTTGCCCTTTTGCCCTTTTCAACTTCAGAATTAGGAAGGGTAAACGACAGCGGATAGATTGCAGCAATTCAACAGTCTTTGGGTAGTAGTTTTGGCTTAGTAAAAGTTATGGGGTCAGAAGGCCGTACTGTAGGGTCGTAGGGGTGTGTGTTTAGAAGTCCTGGGATCACAATAGCTTTGTTCACAGCTACCAGACTCAGTCCTCAGGGCCTGAAAAGTCAACCCAAACCCCATGCAGGTGAACAGTCAGATCGTACTGGGAGCTACAGACCAAGAGTCAAAGGTTTCTCTGAAAGTCAACCACAACCACAGATCACACACAAATCCAAAGGCTTAGACGTTAGAAATCGTACCCAGATGCACCCAGGCAGATCGAAAGATCTGGGCCTTGGTCTGTCGGGACCCAAAGGGGAGTGACTGTGGCCAGTCAACGCACTTGACGTGTCCTCGGTGTACGACTGCCTCGTGCATTGTGCTGGAGTGCTACTGAGAGAGCAACACCTCGTTGCAGCGCTAGAGTGGAATCAACTTGGGGAGGCTAGCGCTAGAGTGGAATCAACTTGGGGAGAGACATTAAGCACTGGCAAGTGGTCGTGTAAGGTGAGGATCATGTAATAGTAGATGATAGGATGATGACATTGTCTCTTGATCAGTTGTCATTCATTCATTTGAGAGTTGCAAGTATAATTGAATAATGATGATGTGAGCTTTGAGGAATCGGCTTCGTTACAACAAAATTAGTCGGATAGAGTTTGTCCCGAGGGCATCGTGCTCCGCTCACAAAATGTGAAACACGGAGAATGTATCTTCTGCTGGAACCTGGAAGAATATACCGCCATAGCTTTTGTCTTTCCCGAGTTTAGTGAGTGGTGAGGTGAGGTGCTGAGTACATGCGAAACAGTGTGTGAACCACACTTCCTGAAATGTTCCAACTCTGGCGAGCCTGGCTATTCGCAACATACTTGTATGAAACAGATACGCCGAGATTTTTGAGGGGCGGCTGTCTGGTACATAGAAGGCGGAAGGTCCAAATGCTTCGATACAATTGACCACCAAATATTGACGAGTCTTCTGCATGAGAAGATTCAAGATGATAGATTCTCGACTCTAGTGCGAAGGCACCTGTATAAGATAAGAGGCCTCTTATGCGGTCGGTCGCTTTATCGAAAGACGACCACATTGGTCGGCCCTTCGGCCCTCTTCTATCCAATGTGGTACTTCATGAGCTTGAGAAATTTGTCATGCGACTGAAGAGCATTGCCGATAGAGGGTCGTCAATAGAGAGGGCAACCGCCACAGGTTGCGGACAAAAAGGTTTACTGCGAAGATCCGGCTGCGATCGGAGAGCAGCCTTCAAGATGCGCCTTCGGCCCTCACGTTCATCGGCTTGCCAGAGTCATTTTAGAAGGATTCACTATGTTCGCTATGCGGACGACTTCCTGATTGGAGTCATCGGACGTAGGCCGTTTGAATTACAGCACCATATCAAGAGAGAAAAGAAACAGAAAGAAATCTAAAAAAGAAGCGGAACAAGTTGAAACATCAGAAAGAAAAAAAAGCTAACAAATTATAGGAGTCTATTCCAGATGGCGGCCTCTTGTCCTAGGATTGCGTTGTGTGTGTGTGTGTGTGTGTGCGCGCGCGCGCTCTTTTTTGTGAAGGCCATGTGTCAAAAAGAAGAAAGAAGGGTTCATTCTATTAAAGAGCTAGTGAAAATCCGATGAAACATGCTTTTTTCGTGGAATTGTGTATAGAGAATATGACAACACATAGGAGAGGTGCGAGCGCCCTGTTTTTCTGTTCTCTCTCTAGGGAGGTTGAAAGAAAACAGACACGCATACACTGGCCAGCCGCAGCAGACAACGTAAATATTGTCGAAGTGGGTGTCATTGGGGCTGCTGTTGAAAGTGTGCCCCTACTGTCATTGGGGCTGCAGCAGACAACGTAAATATTGTCGAAGTGGGTGTCATTGGGGCTGCTGCTGAATGCGCGCGCGCGCACGTGAGAGAGAGAGAGAGAGAGAGAGAGAGAGAGAGAGAGAGAGAGAGAGAGAGAGAGATGCATCACCCCTCTCCCCCCCCCATCAAGTGTAGGATCTGCTCCGAACAGTTTCATAACTGATCTGTGGTCCAGCGATGCCTTTCTTCCCAAGAAAAAGAAGATTCGCACACGCTTGCATGCGTGCGCGTGAGCGAGCGAGCGAGAGAGGGAGGGAGGGAGGGAGAGAGAGAGAGAGAGTGAGAGAGAGAGAGAGAGAGAGAGAGAGAGAGAGAGAGACCAATGTACCTAACTACGCACCCTTCCCCCCGCCCCCCCCTTCGTCCGCCCCCCCTCTCCTCACTATTAAGTACAGGTGCTCCGAACAGTTTCATAGCTGATCCGTGGTCCATCGAGACCTTTTTTTCCGGAAAAACAAATAAACTAAGGGGAGGGAGGGGGGAGAGAGAGAGAGAGAGAGAGAGAGAGAGAGAGAGAGAGAGAGAGAGAGAGAGAGAGAGAGAGAGAGAGAGGTTGAAGAAGGGTGGGTGACTTACATGGTTTGTCTTCTTCTGGCAAGCTTCAGTGACATACATTATTCATTGGGCTTTGGTGCGCTCGGCATTGTGCTGTGCAGCATCGGGCACAAGGTGGCCATAGTTGAGTAGGCTAGGGTGCGGGGTATGGAAGGCATTCCACGATGCAGACCCCGAATTCGAATCTCAGGGTCAAAGTCTCAGGCCAAAATAAGCCAAGTCGGCCAGTCTCAGAAAGGTCACAGCTGGGTACCCCAGGAGCCAAGCCCAGCAGGTCCCATGGAGAGTCACATCCCAAAGGCAAAAGTCGCATTGTAAGCAGAAGTCACGTCCGACATTGAAAGGTCATATCCCACAGGCAAAGGACACTTCTCCAGACAAAAGTTGTGTCCCAGGGGCAAGAGTCACATCCCACAGTCAAAAGTCATGTTCCACAAATGAAAAGTCGTGAATCAGTCCCAAGCAGCAGCACACCAATGAAATTCGGGAAATTACCAGTCCTTGACATTCTGATGCAAACAGGCCATGGGCATGTGGTACTAGGTCCAAGTCAATCCAAAGGAAGCAGAGGCTGGGCCGAGTTGAGGCTCCGTCCAAGTCAATATAAGGACTGGCCAGCCACATTTTCGGAGAGATGGCTCATTCGTGAGAAGTGTGGAAGTGCTGCTGAAGCGCTTGTGCGCTATCTGCAAGTGACATGTGCGAGAGCCCTGCTGGGCAGCGTTGTGCTGAGAGGGGAGGCGGCCAGAGCAGCATAGCTAGTAGTAGGATACAAAGCTGAGTGGTAGCGGATGTATTCAGAGTCAAGATCCTCAAGCAGAGAGAGAGAGAGAGGGAGAGAGAGTAGAGGGAGAGAGTGAGCGCATGCATGAAGGAGACAAAGAGAGAGAGGGGGGGGGACAGAGAGAGAAGAGTGTCACCTACCTTGGATGAGGATGTTGGAATTGGGTTGCTGAACTCTGTGCCGAGGAGCGTTGGAATTTCTAAGTTGCGCTTATCTGGACTTTGCATCTCTGGACTCCATTGTGGACTTCGTGGGATCTCTCATTGTGTGTGTGCTGACGAGCAGTTAGGCTCAACACAATTGGTATCGAAGCTGGTACTCGCTGCATGAGCACTAGCAAGATTAAGGGCGGCGAGAGGAGAATTGGAGTTTGGCAGTGGGTTTGAAGGTCGAAGAGGAAGTGGCCAGAGAAGGGGGATGGTGATTACATACCTGTACGCGAGGAGCGTCGAGGAGCTTCATCGAAGGAGCGCTCACAAGTGAAGTGCATCGCCCCCCTAAGCCTTGCATTTGCTTTGATGAATGAATAAATGTCATGGTACCTTACCACATTTTGGTGTCGCTGCTGATGGACTAGAACACTTGATGACATATCAAATTTTGTCTTGAGTCAGCATCTGGTCAGACATATGCATGAAGTAGGTCGTGTGTAGGCTAGAAGCTTGGCAGTTGGATGTATATCCTAAAGTAGGAAGCATGGGCATGAGAGGCGAGCGCTCGTAAAACAGGTTGTCTAGCCCTAAGACCGGTACTGACCGACATGCGGCTGAACCGGAGTTGACGCAGTGAGGAGCTGTAAGTCTTGAGAGTGAACCTTCAAATCCTGGTGGGCACGATATCCTGTCGGCATCATTAAAGAATTCTCGAGGTCCTTGCTGGCTGACTTTAAGTTGCAGGTTGCCCACCAGCCTGACAGGGTAGTTGTAGTGACATTGTGGGGAGGGAAGAACTTTGGTCAGACTCCAATCTAGACAAGATAGATTAACTGTTGAGGGTTAGGTCTATGTGGTGAGGAGGTGGA